GATATATATAGTGAGAGGTGTTGTTAGTCTGTACATGAAAGAGAGATATATAGAGAGAGGTGTTGTTAGCCTGTACATGAAAGAGATATATATAGAGAGAGGTGTTGTTAGCCTGTACATGAAAGAGAGATATATAGAGAGAGGTGTTGTTAGCCTGTACATGAAAGAGATATATATAGAGAGAGGTGTTGTTAGTCTGTACATGAAAGAGAGATATATATAGAGAGAGGTGTTGTTAGCCTGTACATGAATGAGAGATATATATAGTGAGAGGTGTTGTTAGTCTGTACATGAAAGAGAGATATATATAGTGAGTGGGTGTTGTTAGCCTGTACATGAATGAATGATACACTACTGGTCAACCTACTCATTCAAGGGTGTTTCTTAATTTTTTTACTATTTTCTACATTGTAGAATAATAGTGAAGACATCAAAACTATGAAATAACACATATGGAATCATGTAGTAACCAAAAAAGTGTTAAACAAATTCTTCAAATAGCCACCCTTTGCCTTGGGCTCCCGAGTGGCGCAGCGGTCTAAGGCACTGCATCTCAGTGCTTGAGGCGTCACTACAGACCCCCTGGTTCAATTCCAGGCTGCATCACAACCGGCCGTGATTGGGAGTCCCATAGGGCGGCGCACAATTGGCCCAGCGTCGTCCGGGATTGGCCGGTGTAGGCCGTCATTGTAAATAAGAATCTGTTCTTAACTGACTTGCCTAGTTAAATAAAGGTTAAAAAAAAATTAAATGACAGCTTTGCACACTCTTGGCATTCTCTCAACCACCTTCATGAGGTAGTCACCTGGAATGCATTTCAATTAACCTTCTTAAAAGTTAATTTGTGGAATTTCTTTAATTCTTAATGCGTTTGAGCCAATCAGTTGTGTTGTGACAAGGTAGGGGGGTATACAGAAGATAGCCCTATTTGGTAAAAGACCAAGTCCATATTATGGCAAGAACAGCTCAAATAAGCAAAGAGAAACAACAGCCCATCATTAATTTAAGACATGAAGGTCTATAAATACGGAAAATGTCAACAACTTTGAACGTTTCTTCAAGTGCAGTCGCAAAAACCATCAAGCGCTATGATGAAACTGGCTCTCATAAGGACCGCCACAGGAATGGAAGACATTTACATTTACGTCATTTAGCAGACGCTCTTATCCAGAGCGACTTACCCAGAGTTACCTCTGCTACAGAGGATAAGTTCATTAGAATTACCAGTCTCAGAAATTGCAGCCCAAATAAATGCTTCACAGAGTTCAAGTAACAGACACATCTCAACATCAACTGTTCAGAGGAGACTGCGTGAATCAGGCCTTCATGGTCGAATTGCTGCAAAGAAACCACTACTAAAGGAAATACTCGGATAGGAGAGAGTGGATAAGGAGATTCCGGCTCTCTGAATCCATTCAGGTAAGTCATTCACTTGTTGATAAACTCAGTACTATAAATGTACATTTCAGGCTGAATTACAATTGTTAATGTTGGTATTTTGTTATACAGATGACGTTTGCTTTTGTGGGGGAGGATGATGCCTCGAGCGAGGTTTTCACCCTACAGGAAGCAGCGGGCTTCTCAGCCCTGAAAAGCATCATTAATGGGTCATTGGAGGAGTATGACATCACTGTCTGTGGAGGATGTGCAGTTGACTAGCATGACACTACTTAATAATAATATATTTGATGTTTGTATCAGACTACAGTTGAACTACTTGATAGTTATAACCTTTGTGTGTGGTTGTTTTCAACTCTTAATGATCGGCTATGAAAAGCCAACTGAGAGACCTGAGCCCTAGGACCATACGTCGGGACTACCGGCCGTGGTGACTCCTTGCTGTCCCCAGTCCGCCTGGCCTTGCTGCTATTCCAGTTTCAACTGTTCTGCCTGCGGTTATGGAACCCCTACCTGTCCCAGACCTGCTGTTTTCAACTCTTAATGATCGGCTATGAAAAGCCAACTGAGATTTATTCCTGATTATTATTTGACCATGCTTGTCACTTATGAACATTTTTGAACATCTTGGCATGGTTCTGTTATAATCTCCACCCGGCACAGCCAGAAGAGGACTGGCCACCCCTCATAGCCTGGTTCCTCTCTAGGTTTCTTCCTAGGTTTTGCCTTTCTAGGGAGTTTTTCCTAGCCACCGTGCTTCTACACCTGCATTACTAGCTGTTTGGGGTTTTAGGCTGGGTTTCTGTACAGCACTTCGAGATATTAGCTGATGTAAGAAGGGCTATATAAAATAAAATTGATTGATTGATTGATTGATTGTTTCTGTCCAATTACAGGCAATCCTATCGCCTCATCTCTCACCTGGCCCCTCTCAACACCTCTCACCTGTCCTTTCTTCTCACCTCTCACCTGTCCCCTCTCCTCACCTCCCAACTGTCCCCTCTCCTCACCTCTCACCTGCCCCCTCTCAACACCTCTCACCTGTCCCCTCTCCTCACCTCTCACCTGTCCCCTCTCCTCACCTCTCACCTGCCCCCTCTCAACACCTCCCACCTGTCCTTTCTTCTCACCTCTTACCTGTCCCCTCTCCTCACCTCTCACCTGTCCCCCTCTCTCACCTCCCACCTGTCCCCTCTCCTCACCTCTCACCTGTCCCCCTCCTCACCTCTCACCTGCCCCCTCTCCTCACCTCTCACCTGTCGCCTCTCCTCACCTCTCACCTGCCCCCTCTCAACACCTCTCACCTGTCCTTTCTTCTCACCTCTCACCTGTCCCCTCTCCTCACCTCTCACCTGCCCCCTACTCCTCACCTCTCACCTGTCCCCTCTCCTCACCTCTCACCTGTCCCCTCTCCTCACCTCTCACCTGTCCCCTCTCCTCACCTCTCACCTGTCCCCTCTCCTCACCTCTAACCTGTCCCCTCTCCTCACCTCTCACCTGTCCTGTCCTCTCCTCTCCTCACCTCTCACCTGTCCTGTCCTCTCCTCACCTCTCACCTGTCCTGTCCTCTCCTCACCTCTAACCTGTCCCCTCTCCTCACCTCTCACCAGCCTCCTCTCCTTTCCACTCACTTCCTTCATCACCAAACTTTCCTCCTTATCACCCCTCACCCTCAACGTCCTCAGTCTTTCCTCCTTATGACCCCTCACCCTCAACGTCCTCAGTCTTTCCTCCTTATCACCCCTCACCTTCTCACTCACTTTCTCCTTCTCCTTCTCCTTCACCTCCTTCATCGCCATCATCGGATCCAGAGACTAAGTAAAAAATTTTAAGAGCATTTGTTTATAAACTAAATGTAGTATTTAACACCTCAATGTCAGAGTTTTTTCCAATGCTACCAAATACTAATTGAGTGTATGTAAACTTCTGACCCACTGGGAATGTGATGAAAGAAATAAAAGCTGAAATAAATAATTCTCTCTACTATTATTCTGACATTTCACATTCTTAAAATAAAGTGGTGATCCTAACTGACCTAAGACAGGGAATCTTTACTAGGATTAAATGTCAGGAATTGTGAAAAACTGAGTTTAAATGTATTTGGCTAAGGGGTATGTAAACTTCCCACTTCAACTGTATGTACATGTGATATGTACGTTTTTTATTATTAAGAAATGTGCAAACATTTCTAAACCTGTTTTTGCTTTGTCATTATGGGTTATTGTGTGTAGATTGAGAACCCCCCCCCCCCCCCCAATTTACTCCATTTTAGAAATGTGGAAAAAGTAAAGGGGTCTGAATACTTTTCCGAATGCACTGTATGTCTGTGTATAATAGTATGTATGGGTATGGCATTTAATTACTTTGATTGCACATCAACATGTTATGCATTTATCTACTTACCGTCTACGTATTGTTAGTACAGTGCATTCAGAAAGTATTCAGACCCCTCGACTTTTTCCACATGTTATTACGTTACAGCCTAATTCTAAAATTGATTAAATCATTTTAAAAAAAATGTGGTCCACTGTAGCTCAGCTGGTAGAGCACGGCGCTTGTAACGCCAAGGTAGTGGGTTCAATCCCCGGGACCACCCATACACAAAAATGTATGCACGCATGACTGTAAGTCGCTTTGGATAAAAGCGTCTGCTAAATGGCATATTATTATTATTATTATTATGTTTTTATCCATTTTAGAATAAGGCTGGAAGGTACGAAAATATGGAAAATGGGTCTGAATACTTTCCGAATGCACTGTATATCCATATTGGCTGTTAATGTTCACGTAATGATAATTAATCTGAAATTAAATTAATTATACAGTCCATTTTGTTTGTTTTGGTGTTATATGGTTTAGTTTTTCAGAAACACTTTCCTGACACTTCACTAATAACCTAAATCCTTTGCTGATATTGACTGAAGTACTGCTGCCATAGTGCGTCCATATCGTCCAAATCTGATAATTTGATGTCCTACATTTAAGAACAAATTAACTTATACCATTATCATTTAACTAGAACCACATGCAATGATAAGGCTTCCCATCCATTGCATTAAGTGACAGCTCCACTTCTGGGAACTGCACCTTTGTAGTGACTAAAAACTAGATCCACTAGTGCAGGGCTCTCCAACCCTGTTCCTGGAGAGCTGCCCTCCTGTAGGTTCACTCCAACCCTGTTCCTGGAGAGCTGCCCTCCTGTAGGTTTTAACTCCAACCCTGTTCCTGGAGAGCTGCCCTCCTGTAGGTTTTCAATCCAACCTCAGTTGTAACTAACCTGATTAATTTATTAACCAGGTAATTATTAAAATCAGGTGCGGCTAGATTAGGGTTGGAGTGAAAACCTACAGGACGGTAGCTCTCCAGGAACAGGGTTGGAGAGCCCTGCACTAGTCCATCTTCAACCACATTATTCAAGCTGTCACAATGCGTCAACAACGTTATATAAACTGTAACGGGAGCCGAACCACTGGTCCAGTAGAATCCCCATCTTCATAAAATGTTTAAATGAGGAGCAGACTGTAGGGTGTTCCACACAATTATTTATTTTAACAATTTATATAAAAGTCCCGATTGGGCATTCCATAAGGTAAAGTTCTGTTTTAATCATGTCCATTCGGAATGTTCTGTTGTCCTCCCCAGGCACGCTCTGAAGGCTCCAATCCAGTGCTTGCAGTGGGCCTCTCCTGGGGTCGTGCTGTCCTCCCCAGGCACGCTCTGAAGGCTCCAATCCAGTGCTTGCAGTGGGCCTCTCCTGGGGTCGTGCTGTCCTCCCCAGGCACGCTCTGAAGGCTCCAATCCAGTGCTTGCAGTGGGCCTCTCCTGGGGTCGTGCTGTAGCTGAGCAGACGGGGCTGTTGTGGTAAAGTGACATAGAGCAAAATACAATAGACCTCAAACATAGGCTGTATATATCTTAAAAAGTACCAGACTCTCTCCAAATATGACCAAACACAATCTAAATGGAATGGGGAAGTACTTCGCTTTTGTTAAGGCCACCTCTGTCTAAACTCTGGTCAGTTTAGAGTTGAAGATTTCTAGAGACCAAATCATACAGTGAAATAAGGGGGGAGGGTGGAAAGGGTTTCCAAAAGCAGGAATACAGTAACGGCAAAGAGAAAAACAATAATGAATAATAGTAGATAAATCCACAACTCAACAGGGAAATCAACAAAGTGTGATCGGGTCATTCAAAATGAAAGGTAAATGGATAGGCGGGGTTATGTGTTGAATGGAGAAGTACTTAGCTTTTGGGAAGGTGTCCCCTCATCGCTTCAACTCTGGTCAAGGTCCGCCCCAGTTCAGCTACAGCACAAGTTTTCTAGTTACCTCAACGGTGTCAGGACCACTGCTGCACTGGATAGATATATCTCTGAACCCACCGAGGGGCCATACACCTTGACACTCTAAACACATAGATATATCTCTGAACCCACCGAGGGGCCATACACCTTGACACTCTAAACACATAGATATATCTCTGAACCCACGAGGGGCCATACACCTTGACACTCTAAACACATAGATATATCTCTGAACCCACCGAGGGGCCATACACCTTGACACTCTAAACACATAGATATATCTCTGAACCCACCGAGGGGCCATACACCTTGACACTCTAAACACATAGATATATCTCTGAACCCACCGAGGGGCCATACACCTTGACACTCTAAACACATAGATATATCTCTGAACCCACCGAGGGGCCATAGACCTTGACACTCTTTGTTAAGGGTTGAAGATGTCTGTAGTACAGTGTGTGAAAGACGGGGAGTGTTACCTCGGGTAAAGTTTCCAAAGGAGGCTCTGGTTGAAGAATAGTTCACTGATGGTGGCGTCCTAATTGGTGGTGTTATTTATTGGTGTTATAAAAATAAACTGATTCAAAAGGACTGAAAAAATATGAGTCGTTAACATTTCAAACAGTATTATAAAAATGAACTGATTCAAAGGAACGATTGGCGCTGGAGATATAGCGTCCGATCCCTCGTCCCAGTAGGGGAGTATCAGGGGTGTAGTACGTCAGGTTGAGTAGGAAGTAGTGGCGCTGGAGATATAACTGCCACAACCCTCTGAAGAATGTCAACTCAACGCCTCTGGGGCCTTCCAATGGATTCAACTCAACGCCTCTGGGGCCTTCCAATGGATTTGTTGTCCGCAAAAGTTCCATCTGTGTGTTGCTGACGGTGAACTGGATTTGTGGCACAATAACCCCTTCCGACCAATAAAGAGCTGCGGCACCAGTGGTTGGAGGAGCTGTGGTGGTGGTGGTTGGAGGAGCTGTGGTGGTGGTGGTTGGAGGAGCTGTGGTGGTGGTGGTGGTTGAAGGAGCTGTGGTGGTGGTGGTGGTTGGAGGAGCTGTGGTGGTGGTGGTGGTTGGAGGAGCTGTGGTGGTGGTGGTGGTTGGAGGAGCTGTGGTGGTGGTGGTGGTTGGAGGAGCTGTGGTGGTGGTGGTGGTTGGAGGAGCTGAGGTGGTGGTGGTTGGAGGAGCTGTGGTGGTGGTGGTGGTTGGAGGAGCTGTGGTGGTGGTGGTTGGAGGAGCTGTGGTGGTGGTGGTGGTTGGAGGAGCTGAGGTGGTGGTGGTGGTTGGAGGAGCTGAGGTGGTGGTGGTTGGAGGAGCTGAGGTGGTGGTGGTTGGAGGAGCTGAGGTGGTGGTGGTGGTTGGAGGAGCTGAGGTGGTGGTGGTTGGAGGAGCTGTGGTGGTGGTGGTTGGAGGAGCTGTGGTGGTGGTGGTTGGAGGAGCTGTGGTGGTGGTGGTTGGAGGAGCTGAGGTGGTGGTGGTTGGAGGAGCTGTGGTGGTGGTGGTTGGAGGAGCTGAGGTGGTGGTGGTTAGAGGAGCTGATGTGGTGGTGGTTGGAGGAGCTGAGGTGGTGGTGGTTGGAGGAGCTGTGGTGGTGGTGGTTAAAGGAGCTGTGGTGGTGGTGGTTGGAGGAGCTGTGGTGGTGGTGGTTGGAGGAGCTGTGGTGGTGGTGGTTGGAGGAGCTGTGGTGGTGGTGGTGGTTGGAGGAGCTGAGGTGGTGGTGGTGGTTGGAGGAGCTGTGGTGGTGGTGGTTGGAGGAGCTGTGGTGGTGGTGGTTGGAGGAGCTGAGGTGGTGGTGGTGGTTGGAGGAGCTGAGGTGGTGGTGGTTGGAGGAGCTGTGGTGGTGGTGGTGGTGGTTGGAGGAGCTGTGGTGGTGGTGGTGGTGGTTGGAGAAGCTGTGGTGGTGGTGGTGGTGGTTGGAGGAGCTGTGGTGGTGGTGGTGGTGGTTGGAGGAGCTGTGGTGGTGGTGGTTGGAGGAGCTGAGGTGGTGGTGGTGGTGGTTGGAGGAGCTGTGGTGGTGGTGGTAGGGGGAGCTGTGGTGGTGGTGGTTGGAGGAGCTGTGGTGGTGGTGGTGGTGGTTGGAGGAGCTGTGGTGGTGGTGGTTGGAGGAGCTGAGGTGGTGGTCGTTGGAGGAGCTGTGGAGGTGGTGGTGGTTGGAGGAGCTGTGGTGGTGGTGGTTGGAGGAGCTGTGGTGGTGGTGGTTGGAGGAGCTGAGGTGGTGGTGGTTGGAGGAGCTGAGGTGGTGGTGGTTGGAGGAGCTGAGGTGGTGGTGGTGGTTGGAGGAGCTGAGGTGGTGGTGGTTGGAGGAGCTGTGGTGGTGGTGGTTGGAGGAGCTGTGGTGGTGGTGGAGGAGTGTGGTGGTGTGGTTGGAGGAGCTGTGGTGGTGGTGGTTGGAGGAGCTGTGGTGGTGGTGGTGGTTGGAGGAGCTGTGGTGGTGGTGGTGGTTGGAGGAGCTGAGGTGGTGGTGGTGGTTGGAGGAGCTGTGGTGGTGGTGGTTGGAGGAGCTGTGGTGGTGGTGGTTGGAGGAGCTGTGGTGGTGGTGGTTGGAGGAGCTGTGGTGGTGGTGGTTGGAGGAGCTGTGGTGGTGGTGGTGGTGGTTGGAGGAGCTGTGGTGGTGGTGGTGGTGGTTGGAGGAGCTGTGGTGGTGGTGGTGGTGGTTGGAGGAGCTGTGGTGGTGGTGGTTGGAGGAGCTGAGGTGGTGGTGGTGGTGGTTGGAGGAGCTGTGGTGGTGGCATGAGAGGTGATGGTGGTTGAAGCTGGGGCGAACAAATACTAATTGTTGATGTCGATGATCTGCTCCGTCTCCAAGAAGGTGAACAGGTCATGGTAAACGTTGGAGACTCCATGCCAGACGTCACCCCACAGCCGCTCTATCCTCTGGTTGTGAGTGCTCCTTCCCCTGATGGCACTTCCCCTCTCACCACCCCTGAACCGTTCCAGGAAGGTCCAGATACGGTTGTTTTCACCCCCCCGGTCACATCTCTCCGGGGATGGTACTCCGTAGCTGGTGATGGCTGCTTCGAATGACTCCATGACTGTGGCAATCCTGCTGTTGTCAGAGGTCTGCTGTCACCATCCACAGCACCATGGATAACAATCCTCCACCTAATAAACAAGATAAGATTTGTTTTATAACTACTTTTTTTTTCTTTTATAGTGACGTCATTCTGTTTTTATTATTGATAACGTTATTACAGTTACAGTGCCTTGCGATGAGGTAGTCATTCAAAAAACATGTTAAAACACATGGCACACAGTGTCCATGCAACTTATTATGTGACTTGTTAAGCACATTTTTACTCCTGAACTTATTTAGGCTTGCCATAACAAAGGGGTTGAATACTTATTGACTCAAGACATTTCAGCTTTTAATTTTTAAAATAATTTTAAAAAAATTCTAAAAATAGAATTCCACTTTGACATTATGGGGTAATGTGTGTAGGCCAGTGACAAAGTCTCAATTTAATCCATTTTAAATTCAGGTTGTAATATTTTCTGAAGGGACTGTATACCCGGGAATAGGGCCACAATTCTTTCATGACCATGTAACCAGATAAATCATTAGTTTTTGATGATGTTAAGATTGTTAAAACTTGCAGAGTTCAGGAGGCCTAAGCATATGTACTTACCGGATCAGCTTATGGTTGCCATCGATGTGCCACAAAGAATTTGGGCCTGCAACTCTGTACTGCCTCTGATGTAGCCGCTGCTGCATGGCTCTCTTCGCGGGTCCCTGGGGGGTGGACAGGGATCAGACTCAGTCTGACCCTCTCCCGTTTAAGCGTGCCCTCACAGACTCCGCACCAAGGTCTTCATTCTGGCCTATCAGCTCTTTGACCCTCTCATCCAGCCGAGCATCAGAAAACAGTGAGTAGGACCCGAAGAGCTGAAAATGACTAAATACACAAAAAAATAAAAAAAGATACATTAAATCAGGAATGTGATCAAATCTAGGGAGGATGTAGAGATCTCCCTCTTGTGTTACAATTGCTTTATTCAGTTACGAATAATTACCTCATGCGCCGCTTGACCACGGGGTGCGACACGTTGAGAACATCTGTGAGGAACTCAAGCTGCTCCTTGGCTTAATGTCTTGTGTTTTTTTTTGTTGTTGTTTTATTTTTTACTTTTTTGTTAAAATAAATGCACTGTTGGTTAAGGGCTGTCAGTAAGCATTTCACTGTAATGTCTGCACCTGTTGTATTCGGCGCATGTGACCAATAACATTTGATTTGATTTGATTTGATCTGATATCGCCTTCCCTCCAAAGGGACTTGATAGGCTACTAAAATAGATAAAACTACAATAGATTAATGAATTACAACATTCAATCCTAAAAACTTTTTTAGGTTAAAAGACTATAAGAGCACCCTATTGACACAGAAGACTTAACACAGGACAGGTAAAAATGATACAATCTCAGGCTTTGCCATGCATGCCGTAAAAAAACAATTATACAAATATTGGTAAGGTTCCCGTTTGTCGGATGTTCTTTACCTCTTGCAGGAACTCCTTTGCAACAGCAATTAGATTGCTGGCCATCTCTTCATCAATCACATGATCGCTCGCCCACCGAAGGCTCCGCAACATGGTCTGAAAAATAGACCGCAGACCCCGATTGGTCCAGTGACATTTTTATATGTATGTAGCTAACAACCCCTAAAGTGTTCACTTGTCTAATCTGTGCCAACTCTCAGAGCCTCCGACCTATGATGACAGTCATGCATTTAAAGGCAATTAAGTTTTAACTACAAACTAGCTAAAAAAAAATTGTTCTTCATACAGACATCACTATAGCTAGCTAGCTACTGTACAGTGATGTTAGCTAGTTAACGTTTTTATAGATTCCATAACTAGATTATGGACAATTAACGTTAGCTGGCTATCTTGAGTTCAGTTTAATGTCAATGCCAGACAGATCTATCTAGCTAGCTAACGTTGGTAGCTAGGTAGCGTTGTATTATCTAGCTACTTTTTTTGCAGCTGTTACACCACTCCCTCTCAACACCTAGCAAGCTAGCTAGCTAACAGTAAGTTAATGTTACCTGGCTATTGATGGTTGAAGTCCATCTCTTCTGTCTGTGAGCAGCAGTCTGGTGCAATCAGAGATGGTAGATTTACAATTTTCGAGAAACTGGGCAGCCATTGTTACCTAGCTAGCTAATTTTACCTCAGAAGAACAGTTAGCTAATTTTACCTCAGAAGAACAGTTAGCTAACTTTACCTCAGAAGAACAGTTAGCTAACTTTACCTCAGAAGAACAGTTAGCTAACTTTACCTCAGAAGAACAGAAAGTTGAGTGAACTTCTTTCATCGGTACCTGAGAGAATTAACAGTTAGAGAATTGGGCGGAGTCCTAATGACCTTTATGCAAATGAGGATCATCAGGTGACTAAATGTATTACTCATAGCATACGTATAGGTGAATCGCTGTGACATATGACAAACGAGTGATAGCGCAATCAATGTGTAATAACTACGTAAAATTTTTATGAACGTGTTAAATTATCATGTGATGTGCTGTCATATTCAGGTCCTGATTGGTCAACAAGCTTATTTGACGCATCAAATAGTGTTATTTGACGTGTATCTTTTTTGACACGCAAAGACCCAAACGGTGTTCAATATATAAGGACTATGAATGAGGTAAACCTAGTTAGTGGCTTAATGTCTTGTGTCCAACCTACCAGCTAGACACTAAACAGTTATAGATACTAGTATCCAGGACCCCAATCCATTCTCTTCCAGTGATAGATAGATACTATGTCCACATCACCAACAAACTATCATGGTCCAAACACACCAAGACAGTTGTGAAGGGTCCCCAGATCCTCAAAATGGGTCCCCAGATCCTCAAAAAAGTTATACAGCTGCACCATCGAGAGCATCCTGACCGGTTGCATCACCGCCTGGAATGGCAACTGCTCGGCCTCCGACTGCAAGGCACTACAGAGGGTAATGCGTACGGCCCAGTACATCACTGGGGCGCCAAGCTTCCTGCCATCCAGGACCTCTATACCAGGCGGTGTCAGAGGAAGGCCCAAAAAATTGTCAAAGACTCCAGACTGTTCTCTCTGCTACCGCACGACAAGCGGTACCGGAGCGACAAGTATTTTCTTAACTCTATTTCTTGAACTGCATTGTTGGTTAAGGGCTTGTAAGTAAGCATTTCACGGTAAGGTCTACACATGTTGTATTCGGCGCATGTGACAAATACATTTTGATTTGATGTTACCAGACTCCAGTACAGAAATCCATTCTCTTCCAGTGATAGATACTATGATGCTACCAGACTCCAGGACAGAAATCCATTCTCTTCCAGTGATAGATACTATGATGTTACCAGACTCCAGGACAGAAATCCATTCTCTTCCACTGATAGATACTATGATGTTACCAGACTCCAGGACGGCAATCCATTCTCTTCCAAACACACATTCTCCTCAACTCAAATCCAGAGTGTGTTGAACTTAATCAATAAATCAATCAAATGTATTTTCTAAAGCCCTTTTTCCATCAGCAGTTGTCGAAGTGGTTTAAAGATACCCAGCCTAAAACTCCAAACAGCAAGCAATGCGGAGGCACTATGAGGCTAGTAGATGTTGTGTGTTCGAAGTTTATAGTTGTGTCTGTCCCGTCTGCGCGTGTTTGTGTTAGCATGTACAGTATATGTCCATCTGATCTCAGCGTGTGTGTGACGCATGTGTGTGTGTCTCTCTGTCCCTGTGTGTAGCTCACTGCCTGTGTGTACTTGGTGTGTGTGTGTGTGTGTGTGTGTGTGTGTGTGTGTGTGTGTGTGTGTGTGTGTGTGTTGTGTGTTTAATGTGCTGTCACTGGATTCCACCCAGATCTGGGTTGCTTGGGTGTCAGGTAGTCTGACTACCCGTCTGCTCCTCTCCCCTCCCTTCTCCGCCTCTCTCCTCCCTCTCTCTCTCTCTCTCTCCCTCACTTCTGCGTTCCTCCTCCGGTCACTCTACCTCTCCTCTCCCTCCCTCCTCTCCTCATCCCATCCCACTTCTACTATCCGTCCGTCCTCTCTCCCCTCCTCTACTCCCTCCTAGCCTCTCTCCTACCTCCTTCTCTCTCATCCTCGTCCTCTCGCCTCCTCCTGGAGCAGACCGGTAGTTGCATGCGACTCGTACTTTCGACTGGCCTCCTATCGTTACACCCTCTATAACACAAAAGCACAGAAAAGAAGCAAGCACCACACACACACCACGCTGAAGCCCTCAACAGACCATCTAGAGGACATTGGACATGTCTTCTTCTGGAACCCAAACCCAGCAACCTCTTCTGAGCTTGTCTCCACTCTCTCCTCCTCTGTGTTTGTGTTACGTCGTGTGAGCTGCCCAATATCTTCTCTTCGACTCTGTGACCATCCCCTGATTAACCCCCTCATCACCACACAAGTACACAACACTCACAACAACACACAACCACTCCCCTCCCTCACCGACCATCTGTGCGTTTAACATTTGGATCACTGGTCTTTCTTCTTGTGAACCCAAACTCCACTGCCGAACTCGTCTATGGTGCTTGTTTCCCAACTCTCTCCTGCCTCTGTGTTGTGTTTTTTTTGACGCTAGGGCTTCCAAATATCTTTCTCCCTGATGTACTCCCTGATTTACCCCGCGGTGATGTGATTAGTCAAATTAAAATAGATGCGATTTAAGGGACTCCCAATTTGGTTTTCGGTTGA